TTAGGAAGAGCCACACTCAAGGGTCCAAAGAGCCGCATGTGGCTCGTGAGCCGCAGTTTGCCAACCACGGCCCTAAGAGATTCAGCCTAAGCATCCAATAAAACATCCAATAAAACATACAATAACTAACATTTTAAAATCCAATCAGAATGAGCATTACCAAGCTATGCTGGGTACTTTGAGAGCCTGGAGGGAAGGGGAGGAGAGGGAAGTCTCAAGAAACCAAAGCAGTAATGAAAATAAATGGGGCCCACCGCAGCTTCCTTGGCCTTGAATTCCTTCTCCCTCTGCAGGCGGTACTGTTCAATTTCAGCCTGAGCCTCTTCTTTGGCCTGCTTCAGCCTCCGGTTCTTTCCTGTTTTCAAAAGAAAGAGCTACATCAGGAAGTGGTTAAAAGACAAGAGACTGAGATGGTAAACAAAAAAGTTTTAAAATAGTCTCAAGAGACATGCAGGGGAGAGAGGGAATTCAGAGGTAACTAATAGCATAGGTTCCTGCCTCCTGCAGGCTTTAACTAGAAAATGACTAGATAAAAAGAACTGCCATTAACGACAGACAGTAAAAATGATGGGGGAAAATTTTGGAATGTGTAAGAATATTCTCCCAATCTCAACTACTACGAACCAACATCAAATAGGTGACATTAACCATCTAAGGAACTCTTCCTCCTCCCAAGAAGCAAACACATAATTATGCTGCTGATTACGATTGGAGCTCTGCTTAGAAGCTTAGCAAGGAGACTAATATGCTCCCAAGGGACAGCAACCTCTCCTCCCTTGCCCTCCAGGTTCTCAAAGCCTAACTAAATGAAAAGATGATGTCACACTGGAAACTAAAAACCATGCCCGTGCACAGGCTCTAAGGAATGAAAGTGGTACTGGGAAGGCATCCTCCACAGAGAGCACTGGACAGTAAGACTGCACAGCATCCGAGAGGTGAGGTGGTCTGTGAAAGGTTTGGAGTGGGCCTGGGTTACGCCTATGACATGCGTAATGTATCAAAAAGCTTTTACTGCAGTCCTCTGGGTGCAGAAGGGCTGAATGGACAAAGGGGAGTCAGCAGAGAGTGCAGGGAGGGGGAAGACTTTTATCAGCTATTGCTGGCTGCAAGCAGTTCGGCTGGCTGACATAACCTTTGTTCCTCCCACCGCCAGGTGTCTTCTGTATGGGGTGTTCAAGGCTGCAAGCTTTCTGCAATGTATCTGCTAAGCACAATAAGTTTTTCTCTGCCCCGTTTTATTCTTCTTAACCCTTTCAGTCTGGTTTGTAGAAGAGACTAGTTTAATACACAGATGGGAAAATTCTCTAGGTTCTAACCAAGCCTGTATAAAAATAGACCCCAAGACCAACCAACAGATAACTGTAATCCTGTTCACTAACTTTTCAGATACTCAAACAGAAAAAAAAGGTCCTAAGCGAACAATTTGAACATCTATTTACGAGCATAAAACATCCTGCATCTAAAACTAAGCTTTATTATACATCATTGTATATCAATTGCCCAAATCTTACTCAACTCATGTGAATGAACGAAATTAAATTTAACCTTCCATCTCCTAATTAAGAAATTACTTGGAACCTAATGACCCCATGATGGGGCAGTCCGAAACAACCAACAGATATCTCTCTCTCTCTCTCTCTCTGAGCACCCCAAGACTATTTCTGCATGTATATTTACTTCAGTATGGCTTAGGGCAGTGATGGTGAACCTATGACATGCGTGTCAGAGGTGACAAGCGAACTCATTTTTTTTGGTTGATTTTTCTTTGTTAAATGGCATTTAAATATATAAAATAAATATCAAAAATATAAGTCTTTGTTTTACTATGGTTGCAAATATCAAAAAATTTCTATATGTGACACGGCACCAGAGTTAAGTTAGGGCTTTTCAAAATGCTGACACACCGAGCTCAAAAGATTCGCCATCACTGGCTTAGGGCCTACTGCTGTCCTCTGCTCAAACCAACCTGTAACCCAGTGCTCCACATGCTATCCTCCTCATCAGGTGTATTCAAAGCCTTATTTCAAAGCCAAAGATCTTTTCCAAACGAACAATCTACAAATAACATTTATGCGCCAAACATTATGCAGTAGCTCCACATAATTTCACAATACCACTCTTCTGTTCACTCCCAACTCCCACGGCTCCCTGAATTAATCACTTAATATATTCTCTGCCTATCAGTAAACATCTTCAATGTTCAATTTTGATAGGCTTCTCTGAAAACTAAAAATATTTGAACCAGAAATTATATTTATTTTCAATCTTGCCTTTAGTGGACCTTATATATGGAAGCCAGTGTTATGTTTCATTCCAATGAAATAAACCATAACACAATTTTTAAATACATATATATTACGGTTCAAAGCAACAATTTCATGAAAATGTGGGTTGGACCATTTTACCACATCATGTATCGCCTCTTCCCAATCCCTAACTGGGCAAGTCAATTATAATTACAAATCAAGGCAGGCAATAATTTCCCAATTTTAGTTCTTCTCAATACTTCTGTTGCTAGTAATCACAAAATCTGAGATTGCCCAGCCAGTGTTGCTCAGTGATTGAGCGTCAACCCGTGAACCAGAAGGTTCGCGGTTAAGATTCCAGGCCAGCCCTAGCCAGTTTGGCTCAATGGATGGCTCATCCGCCTGTGGACTGAAGGGTCCCGGGTTGAATTCCGTTCAGGGGTGCATGCCTGGGTTGCGGGCTCGATCCCCAGTGGGGGGTGTGCAGGAGGCAGCTGATCAAAGATTCTCTCTCATCATTGATGTTTCTATCTCTCTCTCCCTCCCCCTTCCTCTCTGAAATCAAAAATATATTTTAAAAAAAAAAGATTCCAGGCCAGGGCACATGCCCATGTTTTGGGATCCATCCTTAGTAGGGGGCGTGCAGGAGGCAGCTGATCAATAATTCTTTCATCATTGATGTTTCTATCTCTCCCTCTCCCTCTCTGAAATCAATAAAAAAGAAAACATTTTAAAAAACAAAATAAGGTGTAAAACATGACCCATTTCTCCAAGGCACTCAGAATTATTCTTACCATGTTCCAAGTATTTGTTCCTGCACTTGCCCCAAATATTCTTATATGCTTCCCAACAGATACAACTTGTTACTGATGAGCCATCACATGACTAATTGTGGGATGTCATTCTGGAAATATTGTATCAAGGACATAATCAGAAATATTCTGTGAAGAACACAGAACTTCCCAGTCATCAGAGCAAGACTGAAAGGCTTGCTCCCATCCCCAGTTCCCTCAAAGAAAACTTCCCCTATGAAATATAGAGGATCACATAACCGCTCTTGTAAGTACAAGAGCCATGTACTTGGATTGAAGAGTTTAAGTCATACTAGGAGAAATACCAGAGAATTACTAAAATACGTATTTCTTGGTATTTTATCCTTGCACAAGAATGGAGACCTCTACACCTCAGCTATGCTGCTTCCCAGGATAGGGTCAAGTCATTTCACTCCGAGCCTCATTTTTCCCATTTGTAAACCTGGGATAGAAATATCTATCTCGCCAGATGGGAAACTGAATGGATAAGCTAAACACAGTCCCTGATCTCCAGTTGTTTAATCGAGTGACTGAAGACACAGGTTACTGCACTACGATGACAGACAGAGCACCTGGAAAGGACTCCTAGCCTAGTCTGAAGGGAGAGGGTGAAGCCAGGGAAGGCTTCTTAGAAGAACTGCCTCCATTCTGAGACCGGAAGGAAGATTTAGGGTTAGAGAACAAACAGGGCAAACCTCTCGCCACCAGAGCAAACAGCTATGCAAAGGCCGCAGGGACATCAAAGAAGGGAGGAGCGTACCTGTGATATTAGGGGAGAAAGCAAGAGACCGATCCCCAAGCGCCTCCAGCATCCTAATAAGGGATTGGGCTTTGTTCTGCAGGCACTGAGTGTCTGCTGCCGATAAAGGCGGTGGGACAGTCAGGGGGTGCGAACCGCAGCGAGAACGGACTGCAGGAGAGGAAACTTCTCCCACTCACCGGTCTAGAACACAGACTAGGTCTACATGCTCAATTCTTTAGCAACCTCTCATTTCTCCACCCTAGCCCTCGCGCCTCGCCTGCAATTGACCTACCCAGCATCGGCTTCCTCCCCTGGGATTCTAAACACCACGATGATGGAAGCCACAGGTACATCCGGCACCGGGCTTGGCACCTATCAGCCACATTTTAAAAACATTTAAGGACTCAAGGATTTAGCCTGCTATGGGAGCCTCAGAGAACCTGATGGCCTGGACTAAGATGGTGGCGGCAGGGACCTGGTATGAAGGTGGCGAACGAAGATGTGGCAAAGAGGACTCTTTCTAGACGGAGTAACTGTGCAAATGGTGGCTCCCTTCACTGAGATGGGGCACCCCAGAGGAGCAAGTGGGAGGGGGAAAGACAATGAATTCCGCCTGAATAACCCGTTTTACACGCCTCCCAGACACCAAGAAGGACGCCCGCCCATTGTTATGTCTCCACGCCCGATCTATTACCCCACAGGCAACTTCCCGTCGCCCCCCAAGCCTTCCAGAGCCTCAGATCCAGGCCTTCGAGTCGCGCAGCTTCCGAGATTGGAACCACCCCTCCGTCCCGCAGTGTTTCGGGCCTCACCACCTGCCACCTCCCGCGGCCTGGCCGCACTCCTGGGCCTCGCGCCCCACCCGGCCGCCCCACCCCGAAACTCACGCTTGCGGGCCTCGGACACCTTCTCGGCAGCCCGCTTCTCGGCCTGCAGCAGCTGCTGGATGCCCTGCGACTGACTGGCCATGGCGGCGGCGACCCCCCAAGAGGAGAGCGGCCTAAATCCGCTCCGTCGCCCCGTAGGTCAGCTGACCCAACCGCCCGAGATCTGCGCATGCGCCTTGTGCGGGCGCTCCCGTCCGCCGTCACGTGATCTCCGCATCGCCGGGTCAGCTGATTGCCTGTGGTGTCCTGTGACTAGGAGGGGCGGGGCGGAAGGGAGAGGGAGCGTCTCTGCTGCGCCTGCGCGGGCATTGTCTTCGCTTCTTCCGGTCCACAGTCCCGTCCTCTCCCATTGTGTCTCTCCCTCAGCTGGTAGGATCGTTGTCGCCGCCACGCCACGTCGTTATCGCCATGATCCCTCTCTTTACACTGTTTGACAGGGTGCCCACGTTACGGTCCAGTGACGAGGGGCCAAGCCAAGTGATTTTACTCTGCACACTGCTCTATTCTCCCCCTTTCTGGAACTTTCCTTGGGGCAACTATATTATGGGGGAGATTAGGAACATTCTTGCCAGGCTCTGGAAGGAGCCTGGATTGGGAAAAGGAAGGGCGACTTGGACTCAAGTTTGCCTCTGATCTGCTCTGTGGTTTGGGGAGGACATGTTCCTTTTCTGAACCCGGGCTCAGGAGAGGATTGAACTGTTTCCATAAGTATTTCGTGAATGCCTGCTGTGATCCTAGGGCGCTGTTGGGAGGTGCGGAGCATACAGCGAGAGCAAGACAGACAAGGTGGGGCGCACAGTTTATGGACAAAAAAAAAACAAACACGATTAACTAAAATTACAAGCTGATAAACACTGAAGGGAAAATGCAGGGTGCTTTAAGAAAGAATAAGGAAGCCCACCCCCGCCCCAAGGAAGTGGCATTTAAAGTGAAATCAGAAGAATGAGAAGTTAGCCAGAAAAGAACAGTGGCGGGTAGAGGTGTGTGTTGGGGGAACCTAGGGGATCAGGAGGATAGGGACCAGCATGCATGGATTGGGGAGGGGGCAACTTGGTACAGAGCCATCCCCTACCAGGAACAGAGACACGGGAAGCCAGTGGTTGAATTACCAAATGACAAGCACTGGTTTAAACAACTTACTCCTGACAGCTGTTTAAACACTACTCCTGACAGCACTCGAAGTAGTATGTAATCTAAATCTATCGTGACGGAACTGGAGCTCAGAGAGGTTAGGTCACTTGCCAAAGTCACACTCCTGTAATGCCAGGGCTGCAGGTGAATCAGGAGGCCAGGTTTGAATCCAAAAGTCAAAAGGAAAATAAGTCATTTAAAGAAGTGAGGTTTCTGTTCGGTTACGCTATCCTTTCCCTGACATAAGAACAAGCACTTGACTGGTCTCTGGGATTTTTACGCCTAATCAATAGTTTCTTGGGATGACTGGTCGTTTTGGATGTTCTAAGAAAACAATTTACTAAATCGATCAATGGAGAGTAATACACACTTCTAAGGGTGGGATGAAGATTAAAATAGATAATGGTATATGATTTCACTTATATGTGGAATCTAAAGAACAAAATTAACGAACAAAAAAAATTGAAACAGACTCATAGATACAGAGAGCAGATTGATGGTTGTCAGAGGGGAGGGGCTGAGGGACTAGGTCAGTGATGGTGAACCTTTTGAGCTCGGCGTGTCAGCATTTTGAAAAACCCTAACTTAACTCTGGTGCCATGTCACATAAAGAAATTTTTTGATATTTGCAACCATAGTAAAACAAAGACTTATATTTTTGATATTTATTTTATATATTTAAATGCCATTTAACAAAGAAAAATCAACCAAAAAATGAGTTCGCGTGTCACCTCTGACACGCATGTCATAGGTTCGCCATCACTGGACTAGGTGAAAGAGTGAAAGGATTAAGAAGTCCACATTGGCAGTTACAAAATAATCATGGGATGTAAAGTACAGCATAGGGAATATAGTCAACAATATTGTGATAAGTATGTATGGTGTCAGGTGGGTACTGGAAATACCAGGGGGAAACACTTTGTAAAGTATATGGTTGTCTATGCTGTACACCTGGGACCAATACAAAATAATATTGAAAGTAAACTGAATATAAAAATAAAACACATGCACAAAAGAAATGTCACTAATACTTAGTACACCAAAGAGAGAGAGAGAGAGAGCCAAGAAGTGGAAACACCCCAAATGCCCATTAACTGATAAGTGGATAAATAAAATGTGACATATCCATACAATGAAATATTTTTTGATTGTAAAAAGGAATAAGGTACTGACCCACACTGCAATATGGAGGGACCTCAGTAGGAACATGCTAAGTGAAGAAAGCCAGACACAAAAGACCACATATTGAACAGTTCCATTTATATGAAATGTCTAGAATAGGCAAATCTTTAGAGATACAAAGCATATTATTGACTAACCAGGGGCTGCAGAGAGAGGGAATGAGGAGTGACTGCTAACTGATACGGGGTTCCTTTTGGGGACCAGGGAAATGTTCTGGAATTAGATAGTGGTGATGGCTATACAACCTTATAAATATACTTAAAATACCAAATCGTATGCTTTAAAGCAGTGGTTCTCAACCTTCCTAATGCCTCGACCTTTTAATACAGTTCCTCATGTTGTGGTGACCCCCAACCATAAAATTATTTTCGTTGCTACTTCATAACTGTAATTTTGCTACTGTTATGAATCATAATGTAAATATCTGATATGCAGGATGTATTTTCATTGTTACAAATTGAACATAATTAAAGCATAGTGATGAATCACAAAAACAATATGTAATTATATATGTGTTTTCCGATAGTCTTAGGCGACTCCTGTGAAAGGGTCGTTCAACTCCCAAAGGGTTCACGACCCACAGGTTGAGAACCACTGCTTTAAAGGGTGGACGATACATTATGACGATGTACGAAACATCCAAACCTGTAATGATTTTTATGAGTTTATTTGAGCCACACTGATGACCATTGCCAGGAAACAGAATCTCAACAGATTGACAAAATGCTCCAGAAAATGTCTGTGTTACCACTTACTGGTATTTTATACATCAGAATCAAAATGGAAGACATAAAGGGGTTACATAAAATTTATTGGTGATAGTGCAAGTGGGGTATCAGTGGAAGTGGGGTATCCCTTTCCTCACTGAGGGCTGGGGGTCCGGGCCTTATGATATCTCGAGAAAAAGAATTTTCTGAGACTTGCATGGGAGGATTCGTGATTTTTATTTGCATAGAATTACATCCCTGGGTTTCCAAAGTCCCATTTTCCTTAATCCAGTATAACTGGAGTTCCAGCAGAGCTAGAGGCAAAGCCAGTGTCCAGAGTATCTGTCCCATGTTGGAACTGAGACCGGTACAGCATCAGGCTAGTTGCAGTCCATTAGTCCATTCTATGTGGGGTCCAGATGGCGTGGGCCATGTGGGAGGATGCAGGAGCATGGGAGCTTGAACCAAGAGAGCCAGGAGCCAAGAGAGCAAACTCCTTTGTTTAAGAGATTAAATATGTAAAGCCCTTAACTGGGCTTGGTACATAGCAGGTGCTCAATAAGTGTTCATTTGCTTACACTGAAAAAAAAAAAAAAAGGCCTGGCACAACACTCTCCAATTACCCCTGGGCAAACCAGGAGCCAGCATCCTACAGTGAATTGTAACCTAAGTGGGAGAAGCACCCAGGACACCCGATTCCCAGGACTTCTCCTCCCATGGGTGTAGACATCATGCGTTCTGTTTTTAAGAGGCCAGTCCAAAGGGTGTTATTATTCTGTCTCCCAGCACAGCCTGGAAGGCGTCTCCCATCGTGACTCAGCACCATCCTCCTCGGAACAATGGTCTGTGGGCCCCATCACTCACTGTTGCCGACACGCTAGCCCGAGTGACTGGTGGTGTGGTATATGGAATGCTGGGGGCAGGGGCAGAAGAAGGAACTGGGTGCCTTAGAGGCCAAGAGGAGAGGCGCCTTGGGGGACTAAAGGGGAGCCCCCAGTAAGAAGAAGGACAAGGACCCTGGCCTGTGGATATCTCATACCTATGACTCTCCAGCACAGCTGCCCTTTAGAATCGGAGAGCTTTGGAAAGATCAGGATTGAGTACCCTGGGCCTACTGACTCGGAATCTTGTAGGGCATGGGGTCAGGAACCTGGACTTTCAGAAATTTCTCCCGGAAATTCTGAAGCAGCAGATGTTGGAGATCCAACCAAAATCTGAGCCAACCCGGCAGCTCCACTGCCCACATTGCACATGTTAATTCCAGGAGGCGGTCTCCACTTCACAGGGAGAGAAAAGCCTTCTGAAGCCAGGATCTCTGAAGGCAATGGGGCCAGGCCTCAGCAGGTCCTCAAGGGCAGCGGGTCTTGCTTCCAGCACAGTCAGTGCACACACATCCGTTGCCCTACGCTTCCAGGCATCATTTTCAGAGCCACAAGTCTACCAAGATCCTGAGCAGAAATATCACTATCATTTGGCTGGTGACAGACACAACACTGAGAACAGTGTACTTATTATTACCGGGGGAAAACACTGAATGGGGTTTTGAATAACCACAGAATGGCTCACACAGTGAGCAGGAATTCATTATCAAACTTGGCTCCCTCCGCTCAGACTTGCCTTGGGCACTATTGGTTTCTGAAATTTGCAGAATGGAGGACGTGCGTACAGATAGCAGGCAGCTGAGATCGGATTGGGAAAGGGAGGGAGGGCTCAGAAGCAGCTGGGCAGTGGTTGCCTAGGGAAAAAAAAAAGATGTTAGCTGGAAATGTTTAGTTACAATGGCAATCTTCAGTGGTTAAATAAAAAAAGAAAATTTACTTGTGTGACTGACGGAAGAGCTGAGAGTTACATCTGATTCAGTGTCATAAGGATTCTTTCTCAGGTCTCTGGTTCTGCTTTCCGCTATGGGCCAGGCCCTCCCAGGATGGGCAATCCCAGGAACCAGGGCTGCAACTTCGCTGGCTGGCCAAAGCTGAATTGGGAAACAGAATCTTGAATCTGATTCCAGGTTATCAGCAAAAGCAGCTAATCTTTCCAGGAAAGGATTATGCGTGCACAGAGGGGTTAACACCAGTTTATCCCAGAACCTCCCAGAGGAGATTGAAGAGTTGTCTGCCTTCTTAGAAACAAAGTTTCCTTATTGGTTTAGTTCATTTTCCCGGCTAACTGGCCTCTTGCCTCTGGTCTATGCCTCAACATTCATACCTAACTCTAATCCAGCCCCTTCCCAGCCCAGAATCCATCCATGGTCCCCAGGATGACATTTCAGCTCCTTATCCTGAAATCCAGGGACCTTTTTCATTTGGCCCTTGCCTGCTTGTCCAGCTTTGCTGCTGTCCAATCTGCCTC